CTCACCTAAAATGGCCACAGTAGCAGTTGAAACTCTCATCTTTTTTCCTTTTTTTTTTTTCTTTTTTCTCCTATTCACAGAATATATCTCATGTTCTCCTTCTAGGTCCCAAATTGAGAATTATCTATTCTCTGCTATCCAACCTCTTTCTATATGCATCCTATTTGACAAGAAAAGATGCTGAGAGCTATTCCTTCTGGAGAAACCATCTGGAAAGCTGCCGTGCTCTGGCCAGACCCCAGCATCATCTCTCCCTGCCAGGCTGTAGTTTTCCCAGTAAAGCAGGGAGAGGACTAACCTGTTTCACAGAAGTCAGGCTGAATGTTTTGTATCTTCCTTTGAAGAAAACTGCTGTGAAAGTGTGTATCTGCTTGTTTGGCAAACGCCACTGGCGTTTCCTTTCCGGACGGTCGTGGCCGGCTTGTTTCTACATTACACCAACCATTGGAGAGGCTTTGTTTTCCATATGACCAAACACCTTATTTTAATAGTTGACTTCTGCCAAGTTTGCCTCTTAACCTCCTCTTGTCCTTTCATTACACGTTTAGCTTTCATATTCTGTCATTCTGAGACCTTGTTTTCTTTTTCTTTCCCTTTCTCTGTCGTCTTTCTTACTAGCTGTCTGCAGCATCCAGCCCTTCCAGTCAGAGTCCTCACAGAGCCTCAGGAAAGGATCCCTTTGCAGAGCTCTCTCTCCAGGATTTCTTGTAGAACAACTTAGGTATTGTCCATTATTCTGGGGAGATGCTGGTGTTTGTGATACAAAACAAAAAAGTTCTAATTCAAGTTTTATTAACATGGCTAGAACTGTTTCTTAAGGAAATAAAACCAAATCTTGTTGAGTTGGAAGCACTGTGGAAGTGACTTGGAAACTCTTTGTATTTAACTTCAGCAGTTTACAGGCTGAGTGTTTTTGCCTCAGTCTTTTGGAAATAGAACCAGCTCATGTGGTACTTGCTGCCGTTAGGGAGAAGGAACTGGTGCTACCTGGTATTTACCATCTCATCAGGAAAATGTTCAGAGTTCCCCGTTAGCAGCAGAGCCCTGAGTGCTGCTGGCAGGGTGCTCGTGTGCTTCCCTGTGGCTTGACCAGGAGTTCCCTTCATGCAGGAGGAGGTGTTTCACGTGTGCTAGGGATCCATTTTGGTACAGAGGTGCAGTGGAGGAGTTGTGTTGTTTTTGACCAGTCAGGGGCAGGTGGGAATTAAATAGTAAAATGAGTGAAAACATGAAAAAGAAATTTGAGAATTCATAGTATAAAGAGAGAGTAGGCTTATTGCACACAGCAGCTGCTTTTCTTTGTCCACTTCCTCTGGTTCAACATGAAAAATCACCCTGAGTTCTCTTCATAATGGTGTTGGTCTGTGTTATGCTGCCACTGGTGACAATATTGCATGGATAATTAGGTGGGTTTTATTTTTAATACAGGGCTATTCCAAAGGTTGGTGTCGTTGGAAGAACATCCTGATGGCTTTCTGTTGTTTCCTGGCCCTCATTTTTTAAAAATATTTTATTTCTGTTCAAAACTTCAGATCATGGGGTAGCTTGGGCATCAGAATGGAAATTTTTGAAGAAAAAAGGTTTAGAGTCCTACTTCTGTTGCATGTTAACCCCAGGGTTTTTCATCTTTCCAGATTCAGTTTATGTAACTGTGTTAGATGGAAGAGAAAGGAACATTTCCAAAAAGATGTGCTCAGCAGTAAACTCCCACTTCCAGGAAAAAAATGAACTTCAGTCCCTCAAACTCTCCTCTTCCATTAAGTGATGCAGTGAAATGATGAAGACCAATGAAGGAAGCTGGGATACCTCCATAAGAAGACATCAGTACACAACACAAAGCCAAGAATTGCCGTGAATTAAGACCAAGATCTATTTTTGTCCTGGTGACTAACACGTCAATACTCTCAGCTTCTAATAATATCCTTAATTGGTAACGTATGAAGAGAAGCCTTCATTCTGAAAATTGATATTGGTGTTTGGAAATGCTGTCTGGATTGGAGATGTGTCCTTTACCGTAACTCAAAACAAGACTCTGGGCAGGGGAGGGTCAAATCCTAACTCTTAATTCTGCAGTTACCTTTTCAGTCCTCACAAATGTAGGCACAGCAGTAATGGAAATTAACTTTTTTTAAAAATTATATATTCAGTTTGCAGTAGACATTCCTTATGTATTATTGTTTGTATTTATTTATGATTATCAATTTAACATTAATATTGTATCAAAAAAACCTCCTTATGAAAATGAGTATGGATGTATACAGTATGTCTGATTTTTATCCATGAAGAATGAATCTGATTCAGAATGCTTTTCTGCTGACATACAGAGCACTAAATATTTTAAAGGTCTGAATCTAATGAATTCTCAGTATATATGGGAATTAGGGAAGAGCTGTAAAACGCATTAATCCTTATAGTCAATTCTGTGCCTAGGATTTTGCAAGGGAACAGTTAACTGACTAGAAAAAGCACTACATTTTTAATTCAGCATTAGTGCATTGGGAAGGAACTTTATTGCTTTGTGCTTGGCATGTCATTATTTTTACATTTGACATTATAAGGCCTTTCCAAGATGAATGTGAGGAATTGCTTTCATTTTTAAGACTTTCCTTCTTTTCTGTAAAAAAAAAAATAAATTGAGGTGTTGTGTGTTGGGGGGGGGAAGCCTTTTCATTGGGCTCGTTCATGATCATGTACCTTTTAAAAGTAAAAAAGGGGAAGTAGCTTCCTTACATATGTCTAGTGGGTATTTAGTTCACGAGGAATTAAAGTAGCGCTGTTGATCGGTGCTTTGTGTAAATACACCATAACTTTTGGGTGGAGTGGGGCCTTCAGAAGGATAGTCAATGATACGAAAGCAATTCTGTACATGAATTAAGCATACTTGCTGCATTGTCTCTGCAGATTCTATTTTTGTTTAAAATATTAAAATGTATGTTAGCAAAAATGGGTGGATTTTCAAATAAAATGCAGCTTCCACAGAACTTTTGTTACGGTATGAAAGTCTGAGGTGCTTCTTTTATTTCTGCTGCTTAAAATGTGCACTGATAACGGTGTTGTTTACTTAATAAAATACCAAATGTATTTCATATGTGCATATTGTATTGCAGGAAGTGCAGCACTCTGAACCTGTGGCTGCCATGATCCATGCAGCCTCTTCCCTGGGCTGGTGTCACGGACAGCCTCAGTGGACGCCTCAGTGACAAGGTGTCTCCTTCTTCCTGACCTAACCTGATATTTCACTACCTTCTAGTTTTCAAACTGCTCATGGCAATAAACTTGTTCTGTTTATAACTAAGCAAGAAGCATAAATAAGTCCCCAAAAATTGTTATTATCTTCCCTAATCATACAGCAGAAGGTAGTGCTGGAAAAGCTGTGAACAGTTTGCTGAGATCCCCTTCTGTAATTAGACACTGGAAGAGCAGAGAGAAGTGGAACTTTCCTCCTCACAACGACCTGAGGCTTGTCCTGGAGGCCAGGGTATCATAAACTGAGCAGTACAGGTCAGTAGATTTAAAATTTCTTTCTCAAAGCATAAATTAAAAAAACCTCTGAACCTATTACAGAGTATGTAATGCACACACCCAGATCTGGGGAGTTTCATACACGTTTACTAAAATTTTGTCTTCCTACTACTGGGGCTTTCAGTGTGGGTCAGTTTGCTTGTGGTCAGAATATAAAAAAGTTTAGTTGTTTGAGTTGGGGGCCAGCTGGAAAAAAGGTGCACGTCTGTGACCTGTTATGACCTCGGTAACTACCAGGTTACAGATTGTTCAGACCTTGTGTGAAGGAAGAAGGTAGACCTTCATCCTCCTCCCGAGCCTGATGAGCTGGGTTATGATAAAGCAGATGCTAACCTTCTTAGGTCTCTGGTGCTCTCTGCAGAGTCTAACTTGAGCCTTTTGGCTGAGGATAGATGTGTTCCTAGATCTCTTTGATCCCTTGGAGTCTTTGTGCGGCTGTGGACTTGAGGCTGCAAATCATGAAAACACCAAAGAATTGTGAACACCCAAACCCATGTCTTCTGCAGGGATGCTGAGCTCCTGTTACCCTGTACTGCTGGCTCGTTGTTGCTTTGTGTTCCTTGAAACAGCTGCTGTGCAGATTAGGCATTCTTGCTGAAGGCTTTGCTAAAAGCTCTTTGGTTTACTCTTTGGAGACAAACTGCCTTGAGAATTTTCCTGAGTAGTATTTTCTCATTTGCTTTGTTTGTAAGTGTTTGCTTTCAGTATCACCAAAATAACACTCAGTTTAGCTTAATTTAAAAAGCACAGCGCACAGATGTATTTTATTTTTTAATTACTGGCACTTTTCCATAATAGGGGGTAGTGAAAACCTGGCTCTCTTCAGAATTGAGTTGAAAGGCTGTTTAATCTACAGGAGCAAACTGTAGAGAAGCTGCCTGCCCTTAGCAGAGGACTGTCTCCGTCTCTCTGGGTGCCTCCCAGTGAACCCCGGCCAGCCCCGGGTCGGCAAACAGCGGGGGGGCAGCCCCGAAGTGACCGACAGCAGGGGGACACTCTCTGGTGCCCCGAGGGTACTGAGGGCAGCTAGGCTAGTCGCCTTTGCAGCAGAAGAGACGCTGGAGACATGGGTGGAGGGTAAAAGGCCGACTCTGAACAGGGGGCCAGTCCAAGGTTTATTCGCCGGAACTCCCCAGAGAGCCCCACACCTCAGGGGTGCGCCGTGCTCAGAGCAAGACAAAGGCATCTCAAGGTTACATTTAAAGGGGGGGAGGAAACCGAGGGTAGATACATTTGCTGACCAATAAAGACCCTCCAGGGATACAGCATTAGGGGATGGACATTTGGGATAGCGTATAACATCATCCTTGGGGGGCTGACCCCTGGCTTCGGGCTAATCACTCGACGGCTTTGACCGAAAGATCTAGATAGAGGGGATGGGATGCTGAGTGACTGACAGAGAGCCAGGGCGGGGATTTGGGGGATGATCTCAACACAGGAGAATGGTTACACAGGTAGAGGAAGGGGGTACAAAAAGGGGTACATCATCTGGGGAGAATAAGGGGATACAAAATCAGAACTATTACGAAGTATTACAAAGTATAAAAGCACACTGCAACAGAGGATGATGGAGTGCTTTGTTAGAGGGATGTGGTTCCTCTTGAAGCTTTGTGTAGGGAACTGGCGTGTCAGAATAACCACAATATTTTTATTTTTTCTAGATCAGGGAATTATATAATGAAAACAACTGGATTTACCTCTTGAGACAATTGCTTTTGCCAGAACAAGAACTTGAACAGCACCTGAGTTTTCCAACAGCACAAATGTGGAGTCTTCATATGAAGACAGATTGAAGTCCCTTTGCTGCTTCTCTTCTTTGTTTCAAAGTCACAAACCAAACAGAGCTGGTACCTCAGGACATGTTTGAAGTCTGTCTTTGCGTGACTTTTTGGCATCAGAGGTTCCATTCAGCCAACTGCCAGAATAAGTCACAGAAGTTCCCAGCTGCCAAACAGCCCTTCGGCAAGAAAAAGGGACAGGGTCAAACCCTGCATCTTTCATTAGACAAAAAGTGCCCATTTCCAGAGCCTGACACAAATTTTGTAGCAACATAAATGAATTGCAACTTAAAGGCCATGGCATAATTGAGATAAAAATTGTGGCAGAGAAATGAGAATTAAGTGCTAAAACACTGGGAAAGGCAGTAAATGCTGATGGGAACAGAAGATTGACAAGATAATGTGATGGGGCAGTGAAAAAATGTGCTGAATACAGACAAAAGAGCAGTGCTAATGGCAGCATATGTAAACTGAGCAAGAGCTTGCTCCCTGGCCTGTTGTCAATCTCTTGACTTGACCTTTGGAGCTCTCACACGACAGTGGAGAGAGCAGAAACAGGCTTGACATCTTCCACTGCATTTGCCCAACAAGCATCTGTGATATGCTGCTGTTTTCCAAGCTCAAACTGGAGAGCAAAGGGACTTAGCTGATTGTTCAGCTGCATCCTGGCTGGATCAGGAGAAGGAGTGAGGAGGAGAAAACCCAGGGCAGGTTCCCTGAAGGTGTAACATTGCTGCCACCTACTCAGCACCTTTTTGTACCAGAAGGTTGAGTAATAGGATGTGAGATGGCCTCCCCAAGATAACAGATCACTCTAGAATTGAGTAAAACACATTTAATTATTTTCTTGCTTCTCTGATGATGAAATTTCCTGAAGCAAAGATCAAAAAGCCTTGGAACAAAGAGCTAACTTGCTTAAATTTCTGTGTGAGGTGATACAGAGAATGGGTACAGAGAAAGTGTTGGATGCAAGCATAGTACTTTAGATATCCGGCAGCTGCAGTACACAAGGAGCACTGGGGTCTTGGGTTTATTTTCATAGCATGGATCTCTGCTTTGTTCTTGGCAGTAACTGCTGAACTTCCCTGTGCCAGCTACAGCAATTGCCCAAGTACTTTTTAGAAAAGCAGTATTTGATAGAATTTTAGCTTCTTGTTTTACTTTAATCACTAAGCGAGCAAAGATCCAGCACCATGTTAAATCCTAGTTTTCAGCATGGCTCAACATTCAATTGCCAACATATGGGAACAGTTGTTGGCATCTTGTTGCCATGTCATGTCCTAAAACAATATGGTGTTTGTGGGAGACTGCAGAACATGAGCTCTGAAATGTAGTATTGCAAAACACATCCTTACTTTCAGAGTTAACTCAAAATCCAACGAAAAGCCTTTTTTTGGAGGAACATCCAGCTGCAAAACATCGGTGGCTAAAGATGCTAACACCAATAGCTTCTCTGTTCTGTGCTTGTCACTATAGTGTAACTTTTCAGTCCATTACCTTCTGCCTTGACCTTATTCTGGCAAACTCCTTTTAGCCCACAGAAGCAGTGTTTAATAACTTCTCACTCAGAAAGCAGCCAAACAAGAACAAATGCTGCAGAGCGAGTCTCTTAACCCTCCTTTCCCAAAACGTGCAGGTCTGAACCTGTGGAAAGATTGCCTTGTTATATAACCTTGCTGCAGCAGAGGCTGCAAACCTCATAAAAACCAGACCAAAAGTGAAATCACTCACATTCCCTGCAGCTCAGGCTGGGGAGTTCATACCAGCACAGCCAGACTACAAAGCAGGAGAAGCCAGTGGCTCAGAGAGGGTTCAAGCCAGCAGAGTGCTGAGGTAAGCAGCTCCTTTCATCACTGGAGTGGATACAGGCTCTCAGCACACCTCTCCCCATTGTGCTTTTTAGACATTCCATGGATTGATGTTTCTCACTTCCAGCTCATGGACCTCGCTTCTATTTAAAATAGTTTTTATTTCCATGCAACTGGAGTGATGTTTGTATTTCTTTAACTTTGAATTCCAAGGAATACTTGGTTTTTTTCTTCCTGTTGAAACGGCAAGTTTCTTTGAGTTTTGTTCTAGTTAAACACATAACTCCAGCTCAGCTGAAGCTTAGATTGGATTGTAATTGTGGAGACACCAGGACCCTTGCTTGCATCCTAGAGTTGTCTTGTGCAACACTAACACAGTACAGAAAAAATATTTCATAATGCTGGGAATACAAGGGTGACTCCCATAAGTTTGGTCCTAACTGGAGTAGTGAACTCCAAGTGGGGCTTGGAAGCACTGGCTGTGCTGCCAGAAGGTGACTGATCAGCCCCTTGTTTTAGAACATGCTGCTCATTTCTCTGAGATTTTGCTAGTAACAAATTTATCAAATCCAGATGCCTTGGGCTGAAGACCCAGCTTTCTCCATATGAAAGCCCCGCAGTGGCCTTAATGCTAATCCTGTAGAAATCAAGGGGATTTGAGACACTTCACTAAATATGTTTTGCTGAAGGCTGTTGCTTCTGGCTTGTGCAGGCTGCCTGTGGCTTGTACCCTAATTAGCATGTTTGGGTTTTCCTTTTAACTCCCTCTCACCCACATAGGCTGTTATGGGAAAAGGCTAAACTGCAAGGGTTCTTTTTTCCAAGGTGCAGGTTGATGTTGTCCTGCCATATGTCCTGCACATGGTGTTATGCATTATGGGCATAAGCCAAGAGAAGCCTATAGATGTGCCATACATTTACACCATTAGAAAATGTAAATCCACTCTGGGGAGTGGTGGGAAGAAGGAGAGGCCTGCCTTTAACAGAAAAGCCATTCAGCATAAGCCACATTGTAATTCTGCATCTAAAGAAGAAGCTAAACTAATCACTGAGCAGAACTAATCTCTCTTTCAAGTCAGCCATTTCATGGGGCTTGCACTGCACTCAAAGCAAGGCAGGGGAGCGGAGGGGAGGCGTCTCTTGGGCTGCACACAGCCCAAGTACAGATCCCCATTCCATGGACACACAAGGGGCAGGAATCATCTCAGCCTTCACAGTCACTCTACTGGGTTACAGCAGGGCCACGTCCAAACTCACTTTACTGTTCACCACGTGGCAGAGAAGTCAGTCAGTGTGAGGTGAGGTCTGCCTTTACCTGGAGTCTGACACCTTTACCTGTCTCCTTGCAATCCCAGCCTAGGAGGAGCTTGGTCAGTGGAGCCCAGAGACCAGTGGGACTCACCTGCAGCCCAAGGAGACACCTGCTGGGCAGGGACAGCTCAGCGTGCTTGGAAAACCAAAAGCGTTTGCACTGAAGTACAGTTACACTGAGATACTGCACAGAGATACAGGTTGTTTAAAAAGTAAGTTTTTTTAAAAACCTTTATTCCAAACAGCTGATTATCTTGTCGAGGGTTTAAATTGATTAATCAATGCTGTCACAAGTTTCTAATGAGGAAACGCATGGGTCAGAGCCTACACGTGGGAAGGACCTGTTGTGTGCTGCTGAGAGAGTGTCCAGAGGGAGCCCCCCACTGCATGAATGCACTAAGATAGATGTTCAAATAGGCCAGCCACAAACCAAGGATATGGGCTTACACAATACATTTGGCCAATTCTAAACAAACAAAATATTTAAGACCTTAGTGATTTTTTATGCTGGTTTTAAATTGGTTTTAAATTAATTTTTGTTTATTTCAATGTATTTAAGTAGGGGTCTTGTGGAGACAGATAAAAAAGCATTCAGACACTCAATTTATAGCAATAGTTGAATTATGCTTGCAAAAATTAATTCTGCCTTAGCAGAGCATTATGTGTTTTGTAATAGTTCTGTGTTTTATGGCAGCCTGCATTTACCCATTCACTGTCTGATCAAGAGGAAATTCCACATCTGCAAGTAGAGACCACACAAACGAAATATTAGCTCAGATCTTTTAGTAGATAAATGTGCTGCTATGTGGACTGAATACCTCAAAGAGTGCACAAGACGTCTCTCAGTGGTAAGGAAAGGAACCTTTCAATTAGCCTCTGCACACAGACATACCTCTCATGAAACTTATAATCATGATTCAGGCACTCTAAAATAGTTTCCTCAAAGCCCCATGCCACACAGAAGAGAGCAAATATTTAATGAACTGAGAATGTTACATTTCTGTGCAAACAGCACAGCTTGTCTAGTTTTCATCAACATTTTCCTTAAATAAGGCCTTGATCATCTTAGCTGTGATATGCCCATCTGATTTACCAACAGTGTCCTTTTCTCTGTAGCTCCTGCTTGGCATTTCTTCTGGTTCCTTACAAGCAGGCACAGCTTTTCCAACCACGAGCAGCTTTCTCTTCAGAGGTCCCAGTTTTGAGTATGCCTGAAGAAGAAAGAATATGGTCCCTTTGCAATTTCACAGAAAAGCAACCATTCTTAAAAAAAAAAAAAAAAAAAAAAAAAAAAAAAAAAAAAAAACACCAAAACAAAACCACCACCACCAAAACCAGGAACTTTTATTTTTAAAGCAACTGTAGAGATGCTGCTCTGGGGCTGTGTTTTATATTGTCAGTAACAATGGGCTTCTTTTGCAAGCCAACTCATTTTAGGAGGCTACAGCCCTGCTGCCCTCTTCTTCTCTGTGTTTTCCCCAGTATCACCTTCTCTATAAACCAAATTCTAATCTCAAATTCAGTTCTGTGAGAAGAATTAAACTAATGCAACAGCTTGCTGCTTCCAAAGAGAGAGGTCCAAGCCCAGACATGTGCTTCTGCCACATCTGCACTGGCTCTGGTCTTCTCCAAACCTCTGAGTCTACTCTGTTGACCAACCCAACAGAAAGTTATTCAGGAGGAGAAAGAAAAGGAAAGCTTTTCTGGTGGGCTAGAGCCCATCAGCTACAGGAACGGCCAATGTGCACTGTTTCCTCAACCCCATCGTTTGCACCCAGGAACACCTTCATCCTGGCTTTCTGTTGAGGGAATACTGACCCTTTAATGCTCCTCTGCAACACAGATTCTAAAGGACCTGTTCATTGCCATCCAAGCCAAGTAATCTGTCGTTAGGTGACATTCAGAATTCTTTCTAGGGGAATTTCACCCTGGCACTCCATGGGATGATTCCTAGGACACCATTCCATTGCCAAAACACATGCCTCATGGTATCAGAGGTGCCTGAAGGCATCCAAAACATCCACGTGAGGCTGGTCTGTAGGACACAGAACCTGTGCTCTTTTGGCCCAGCATTTGAAGGACATGGACCTAACTGTCCCAAACAGCACCAGAAGACTACAGTCCATCTGAATTGCCCAGCAGGTAAAGGACATTGGATGCCATAACACCACTGGAAATAGAAGGGTCCTGACAGTCTCATGCTCCATACTGAAAGTTGTTTGTGTCATGGAAGACCTGATAACTCTGACTCATACCTCAAACTCTTCTTCATCTTCATACAACAAGCTGTCCAGGGCTGGAGTGAAGAATTTTTTCCGTGATTTTTCATCACTGTCTGGAGGCTTCTTATAATCTGTTTTAGACCGAATCTTTGGAAAGACACTTCTGAGGCTCTTTCCATCTGTCTTTGCTTTATAAAGGGAAGAAAAAGGAATTGTATGTAATAGTTAAGCCTTATGGAAGTCAGAATCAGTACTTGATAGGAGCATTGCCTGCAATCTTTAATATGGCTTAGCCCCTGCAATGAAAAGAACAGCTTGGTAGCATTTTTAATTGACAATTCAAGCCAAATGTTCATTTCCAATGGGGTTTTTTATGTGGTTTTTGTTCACAATTTTGGATCAAGACCCAAGGACTAAAATTGATTGTAGGTTAGAACTAATGGATCTGTAGGAGGGGGCAGGGATAAAGTGAGCTGTTATCAGTTCAAGTTAAATCCTGTAGAGCCCTGAATAGTTAAAAAGAATAAGAAAGGCAGCAAAGCAAAGTACAAATTTCTTCTTCTGTTTGTTTCACAAACGCATGTTTGTGTATCTATAGGAACATAACTACAAGTTCCTGAAACACAGTTTACTTACAACTCCCCTAAAGAGGTCACACCTGTAGTTGACTCATTCTCAGGATGATAGAGGATTTTGGACATGGACTGCCAATTTACAGGTTTGCCTGTGACTGTGACACAGTTTATTGGAACAAAGCCTTCTCCGCCACGTAACTATTGCAAAAGTCTAGCAAAGGTGTTGGAAGTAAACATGTATTTAATACAGAAGTCTTTGGCAACATGTTTGCTGGTGCCTGATGATTTCAAAAGGCCCACCTATGGCTGGGACTGATCAGAACTTCAACAAAATACTTCATGTATCTATAACTGTATGACTTCCATTTTTCTAACATATCTCTTTAATTTTGTATTAAAGAAATATGTTAGAATCATCTTCTACTTTTTTCCATCCTCTTTCTTTCTTCTACTCACACAAAGATATAAAAGTTTGTGATACTTAGGAATCCACAGAGACTCTCCTAAACAGATAAGCACAGGCTTATGCTCCTTCTTGCCTAATGGTATATCCTTTCCCTAGCCACACCTACCAGAAGGGATGGAGATTCAGCCCAAAATTCAGTACTGCTTACCAAAATTTTCAGTTCAGGTTGAGCTCCATGTAGCTTCATCTGCTCTTGCTAGGGATTTAGTTGTAATTTAACTCTGGTGTATTGATGAATGACTGCAAAGTGCCTGTACACTTAAAGTGAAAGAGTGTCCTCTCAGGGGCAAGCTATAATGAAGTTATAGAAGTTAAATGGATCAGTAAAGAACTGATTAAGATATGATTCATATCTTCATAAAAGATGGCCAATCCTGTAAACTGTATTCCAGGTTAGCTCTAGATGAGTAATCATATTCCACAATCTAAAACCAATTTAAATTTAAAAACTGTATTACAGATAGATTGTGATTTTGTCTCCTTATGCAAATTACAATCTATCACAGCTGTGGTGGCTGCAATCAAGAGGGAAATAAAGTGTTCTTCATGTCAAACAGGTAGTTTGAATAAAAAGTTTGAGAAATAAAAAGTCTGTAAATGTTCACTAAGTTACTTAGCATTTCTTATAAGCTGCTGACATTTGCATTACCTGTATATTCTCTTTTTCCCCTTTTCATTTCATCCTTAGGAAGTTCTTGCAAGCCAGCTCCCTTTGTATGAAACAAATGCCTATGGAGTAAAAAATATAAAGTGAAACCCATAATAGGAGTCTGAATTTTCTCTCTAAACTGTCCTGTGCAATGATTTGGGGTGAGGGAGAGGCCACCCTTTCTGAGAGCCACTGCTGCTTAACCACAAAGGCAGAACAGCACAATGGTTCAAAAATGCAATGGAGGCAGCCAGGTAGCTTAGTGGCTAATAAGCTGCTCTTTTATTCTTAGTGCCTTAGTTCAACTATGTCCATGAGACTAAAAGAAAACAAATGTTATAGTCTCCAGTCAGTCCAAGATTCAGACCACAGTTGGCAGCTCTCACTTCAAAGAAATCCAAAGTTTGGAAAGGAGAGAAAAATGGTCACTTCTTAAGACTTGATCTCTGTGCAATATGGCTAAAATTTCCAGCTGGGACTGGAAACTGAAGATGGATCTCTCACATTGTTGCATTGTGCTTTTGATACCATTAGTGTTGACATTTTGTAGCTAAATTAATCTTTCTCCAGGGAAAAAGTTAAATCATTTCAACAAAAAAGAAGCTAATACTACAGACACCTCTGCAGACAGACATTTCCCGAGGTCTCTTCATCTCTCAGTGTCAGGTCATTTGTTTCACTCAAGATTGCAAACCCCCCTATATATTTACAAATTAATCTTCACATCTTCAAACATTTTGCAAACAGTAAAGAAAAAAATCTATTATTCAGCACTTAGTCTGAAAAGCTGGGGCTGAGAAAATCTTTTGCAACCATCAATTGCAACACAAAGAAATTATTCCCAAGCCTAAGTGATATAAAGTGAGTACTGTTAGGTCTTAGTAGATTAATTAAGGACCCAGTTTCTCCCCTGAAATTCGGTACTTGAGAAGTCACAATGTTATTGTCATCCTTCAGATACTGCTCCCATGTATATTCAGTCAAACCCTGTCTTTCGTCAACTAGGAAACTACCTTGGCTTTGATGTGGGAGAGCCCAAACAGCTCTTGAGGCAGACAGGAGCATTATCTTAAAAACAAAACAAAAACAAACAAACAAACAAAAACATACAAAAAACCCCAACCAAACAAACAAAAAAAACTTTTGAGTCCAGGAAAGCATTATTTTACCCTGATACTCCTAGTTGCTGAAGTTTGATATCAATCAATTTTGCCACTAAACTGGTATTTTCTTCTTCCAGGAGCTGGACAGAAGCTTTCAAATCCCTTTCTTCCTTTCGGTAGATCTTAACCTTTTGACAATTAAAAAAAATTAAAAAAAGTTCTTTCACACCTTTATTAGGACACTTTTACTGTCACAGCACATGTGTGTCAATCACAGCCACACATCTGGGCTGTGCAACCCAGACAGCAAAACCTTCTTGTATAGTTAAACACGTCTGCTAGACAGGAGCTCTGGATTTTTCTTTTTTGCTTTCACATCAGAGCTTTGAGAGAGGAAAACTTCTCTGCAGAGGTAAAGTCAGAGTCTTACTCAGCAAGTGATGTTTTCCTAATTCTTTCCTATACACGAAACCTTCTTACCCAGAATTAGTGAAGTTTTCAGTCCAAGTTACCAGAACATTTCTTCCCTCAGAGGGTGGTGGTGGGGCTCTGGAACAGGCTCCCCTGGGTCACAGCCCCAAGGCTGACAGAGCTCAAGGAGCTTTTGGACAATGGTCACAGTGGGGCTTTTCAGGACCAGGAGTTGGACTCAGTGATCCTTGTGGGGCCCTTCCAGCTCAGGATGTTCTGTGGTTCTGTGACACTGGCTAAGCCCCGGGTACTATTTGCTTTCAGGCTGGTAATTACCCCTTATCACTGTGGAGATACACTGACCAAAGGATGCTGGTTATTCAGTTCCCACAATTCTTCCCACTTTTGCAAAAGTACCAGCAAGTTCTTATCCCCTTCACTGGGGAGGGGAATGTACTATGGGAAAGATCTTCCCAGAAAGCTTAGCCATATGCACGTGTTTAAGAGAAGTACCAAGCAATCTGAAAGCATCCATTCTCATCAAAACCAAATTAACCCAGCTATAATCATCCAAATTTGCAGTTAAAACTAGTTCCAATTCTCCCAAGGATTAAAAAGGTGAAAATGACCAGTAACAGGATGTGGCTTGGCACAGTGAAGTGATGCAGCTTTGCACCATCTTGGTGTGACACAGTAACCATGGAAAAATGTGACTGAAGTCTCCAAATCTGTTTTAATTTTGGAGGTAACTAATCTAGAGCTATTTTGGTAAGTCATTTTTCAGTTCAGTGGCCAAACTTAAATAAAAAAAAAAAAGAACTCAGACATAACTAAAATTTTTGGTTTATCACACCCGAAGGAAACACTGAAACAGTCTGTCAGCTACATATAAACATTAGACTGAGAGAAAATATTTCATCCATGTAAGAAAAGCAGAGAAAATGAATGGGTGAATTCAGAGGACTGGAGAAGTTAGTGATAATAGTTTTGTTTTCCCTCAAAATTCAAAGCAGTAATTCATAACATAGGAAAGTAGCAACATAGGAAAGTAACTCATAACATAGGAAACTTCTACTTGAGAGGAAAGAAATCCAAATCCCTTAGCTCTGAGGTGAGGGCCTGTCAGGACATAAGAGTATTTATTCCAAAGTGCTCTCTTGTTGGCACTGCTAATGTGTGTAAAAACTGTTCAGTGAGACAGGGAGAAGGGAAGAGAATTCAGACTCATTCAGTGATGGGATGTGTAGATTTGAGCTCCTGTTTGTTTGTACAGAATAAAACATTAATTCTTTCCCATTTCTTTCCCCTACCCTCATTGCTTCAGAAGTTGTGGTTTGGACACCCTCCCTGGAAAGTTAAAGATGCATGCTCAGAGCTCATTAAGGGGAAGAAGGAAAGCTGTGTCCCTGCATACTGGCAAGTACCTTAAATTAGTAACTAAAATGAAGAACTTCTGCCAGGTTTGTTGATGTGGCATGGAAAAGTAAGAAGTACATTTATTAACTTTCCAAAAAGTTTTGCTCAGTTCTCAACTGTGAGGCTGTAAAAGTGAGGAAAGGCATTTCACCCACCAATCTCATGCTTAGATTTGATTGAAACAAAGAACCTATATTGACTGGAATAAATAAAATCAAACTTTCACTACAGAAACAATTCGTTTACTAAATCTGGCAGAAAAATATTTTCTTGTCAAGAAAATTACAGCTACCTAATATATAGTTATAAATTGTCATTCACGGTCAGTATAAAAGCTATCAAGCAATTAATTACAACCATATATGATTTTGAATTTTCTCTCTTCAGTGTAGAGTCCCCATGGTTTCTTATGACCCTCTATTTTATGTCATCTCAAGCCATTTCTCAGAACATGTTTCAACATCCATATCCATTTTCTTTCAATACAGCAGCACTAGAACTTTAATGCAATTCAAACCTTCCCTCTTCAGCTACTTACCTGGTTGATCCTTTAGAGCATCCCAATTTCCACAGATAAAAATCCTTAATTGTATGGAACATTGTAGTCCTTCATATAACAGCTTGGGCAGGAAAGGGGGTCCTCCATTTGTGAAAGCAGATGTTCACCTCTTACCTTTATTCACAACACTGCACGGCTTTCTGCTCAGGATTACAGATTAATTACTGGAAAATTGCTCTCCTTTGCCAACAGAAGTCTCCCGAGGCCCATGACTGGAAACAATTCTGACCACAGGCCACAGTATTTCAAACATAAACTGCCATGATAAACTGCAGGCAAGCGATCCTCTTACCTCTTCTTTGAGCCACTCATTCTCTTCAATCTCTCTGCGACAGTCTTTGTCTAAGTATCCCACAGCATTCTGAGAAAACACAATTTAAGATAATCTCATCAGAGAGCAACACTTTGACAGTCCTGCACACTATAAAGAACAACTGTCTGCTCTTTAGCAGGAAATAATTAAGACACATCCACACAACAGACTGTAGCATCCCCTGAGGGATTACAAGGGGATTTAGTTCACAAGGCCAGATGTTCCTCCTCTATCATCCTGCCTAGAGTAGATTATATGTCAAGCAATTTACCAATATTTTTTGATTTCCCATATTAAAATAGGACATTTCCCGTCTATGTTCCCAGTACTGCTCAAGTCTTACTGCTTTCAGAAAATCAAACCTTCAACTATTAAGGACCCCAAGTAAAATCCCAAATGAGATTGGGATTTTATGTTCCCAGTACCGCTCTACAACAAGTGACCTAAGCATGTAGAGGTCTGTGCTAATGACCCAAGGCTACAATTTAATCACTGATGTCAGTAAAGTGGAAAGGAAGAAGTGGGAGGGAAGATACCCCTGCAGATCACCATAAACACAGTCCTCTGGATTATGTTCTCACATGACTGGAAATTCCAGCACTGAAGTCAGGGAATTTAAACACCTAATGGGCCTAGTGGTTTGTACTGAAGTATGCTTTGCATTGAAATTAAGAAGTTGCCACTAGAGCTATTTGTAAACCATGTTTTCAAACCAGAGCTGGCAGAGATAACAAAATCATAGTGAATCAATAAACCTGCATTTTCCTGAGACTGCACTATTGTGGCATTTTAAAATACTGTACTTTACAAATACAGTGAAACCTTTTTTTTTTTTTTTCAAATTGATGTATATTATCATGCAATCTCTTTGTATGTTACTGCTTATTGAAGTCTGTGTAAATGTCAAAATCAAGGCCATGGCAAAAGCAACATGTTCTCAAACAAGCCTTGTCAGGGCATGGTGCCCCAGTTTTCCGTGCCTTGTTTGTAAAATGACCTCACATCTAACCATTGTTATTCTGGTAAGTAAAGAAAAAGGTACATGTATGTATAGCAATAACCAAATCCATATGTACCAGGATTTCCAGGTTATTTTGCTCTCAATTTATTAGAAAAGTTTGAAGTCTGAATACAAGTTAAAATAATTAATAATGCAGAGTACATGTATCCCAAACATAACGCAATTAGCAGTTTTTTAAAAAAGCAAAAAGAATACCTTAAGAGCTTCTTCACTGAGTAATTTCATGTGCCTGTCAAACAGTTTCTGATTTTCTTCTTTCACAACTTCCAAAGCTTCTCTATAATATTCTTCAAAACAAAAAACCAGGGAAATCAGAAATCATTATTTTCCATTAATTTTTCCTGATAACAGATAGAAAACTGACATGTCATTACTAAACTGCAGCTTATCTGTGAGTGTTGCCTGCACAGATGCTCCACAGAAAAGGATTCAAATATCCTTTTCCAAAGAAATTGTCCTTCTAAACCCAAAGAACAGTAGTGTTAACTACACAACTAGAAATTGGAAGTGGCTTACCCACTTCTGTTCACAACTGCAACAGAGAGCAATTCACTGCTAAATGAGCAGTGATCTAAGCAATTCTCTGCTAAAATATTGGCATCTTAACATTAAATTTTGTCTCTATCAATAGCAGAGCTCCTGGAGCCATATGAGAGATTTGCTTAGAATTTTTTTTTTTTTTTTGACATAGAAGCATATTGGATCGCCTTATCCACATGACATTTTTTCAGATAGTTATTATAACATGCCTAATAAATTTTCTGACTTATCTAAGGCTCTAAGGTTCTAATTTGACAGCAGAACAAAATGGAGAATGTGGCAATTGCCACAATGATTTGCTTCTATCATTACTTGTGGTCATTATTTAGAAAGTGTGTCTTACATTGAACTGAATAGGTTTGGCTTCATGTTCTAGACACTTTCTATTTAATTATTTCATTCCTCCCTTTAGTTCTTTTGTTTTGGCTCTTCTAAATAGCTCACTTCTGCTTGATATTTCCTCCTTCTGAAGGAATGAATGAGATTGCAGTAATTTTCTGTGAAGGAAGGCACAGCACACTTGTTCCAAAGGGTTGAAATTCAGTCTTTCACTGCATTTGTGCTGCAGACAGTCTATTTCTGATCTAGCTGTAAACAAATATCTGCCCATGGATGCACTGTGGAGTCAAAGGCAGTCAAATATGAAAGGTGTATTAGTAGTGCATTAATTATTAATTTAACACTGTGGAAGCTGGACTCCACCATCTAGACTTGTCAGAATGAAAATGAAATACTTCCATACTATAATGAATTCACTCTTCCATTATTTCAGATAGCTAAATCACCTGAGCTGTACTTGAAGAATGAAAAAGGAGAAACTGTGTGTCTGAACAGTTCCTAAAGAGGCTGTCTTCTCTAATCTTCTCACTGCAACACTTTTCCCCACACATCACCTGAATGTGTGGCTCTCTTTTGCTTCCACTCCTCTCCTGTTGTTTTGCTTAAAATGTCACTACCAGAAAACATGAACTGTGCCAGTTCCAAGCCCTTCAGTGGTACACACAGACAGAAACCTGTTCACCTATGCTTATTCTCTAAGGCTGTTAAACATTCAAGGTGTGAGCAAGCCGAATTTGTTGCTGCCTTGCTCTGAAAGCTTGACAGATTTCTGCTGGAAGGCTGTACTCCCCAGGTTCAGTTTTAGGGAGTTAAGCAAATTAGTATGGTGAACATCCAGTACTGTCAGCGTCACTTTCTAGTACGTTATGTAGGCCATTTACACATGTACCACCATAACATGACTTTCAATAAATACACTTCTGTTGGACCATGAATTTTTCTTAAACCATGACACTCTGTACCCTGTGGCATGCAGGAGATCAGACTGTCTGTCCCTACTGGCATTCTGCATGAAAGCCCATTCTCTTTTTCACTTCATATTTCAGCAGCTATATAGCGAAGTTCTAAATCAATTAAGAACATAGAAAATGCATAATGAAAAAACCCCAACCTCTCCTGAGTACAGATGTAGATATCTGACAAGCTATCTGGAAATGTAGAAATCACACAGCACATCTTAATGGTGGTAAAATATGTTTTGAGAGACAAAAAGATAGCTGGCTGGCTCTTATTCACAGTAGCTGATGCCTGGTAATGGCTGGCACAGAATATACAGAGACCCTTAGAGCAGTGTCACTGCCTGTTACTACCAGCTGCTTGGCTGCGGTCACGCATACTGAGAGGGACATAAAGGAAGAAAACCAGGACATCCTCCTGTTGGAAGCATGGGTTATGTAACAGAAAAATATTTAAATTATTTTAAAATAATGCAGTAATAAAGAAACCTTTGTAAAGCACTCAGCACCACAATATATAAGCTCTCATTTCCACTGCTATGACAGTGCTGAAACAGTTCTCAGGACGTGTCCATGTCTGCACCGGCGATTTTGCAGGGCCTCACACTGTGCAACGAGGAGGAACGGCACAGACCGCTGGCTAAAGAGCTCCCTCTAGTCCTGCATGCAAACCAGCGCGCTCCACAGAAAAGACTGTTCCAAGAATGAGCTCACACTACTTTCCTGTCAAAGGAGCTTTCAATATGTGAAGTGCTTGTAGATGATGAGAACTAACAGCAGCAGAGTCAAGTATGACTGCTAAGGGAGCCCTCTGTGTAGGTGACCTAAATACGTGTAGACTTATTTTTACAAAAACGTAACATTCTCAGTAACATTTTTTTTTAAATGGATTGCCTGTATTTTACAAGAAAACCATCAAAGGACCAGCTTATCAGTTTCTTGAAGTGTCATAATTTCTGTAAACTTTATCAATTTCTTCAATAAATGAACTTTTACAGAGAGAAAAATAAAGAAAGGGAGTCCTTATATTTTTCAGGATTATACAGGTACCATCTTAGGTGCACTTAGAAAAGTTCATGCAAATTACCAAAAAAGTTGATACAAGTTACTACAGCTTAATCTAAAATTAATTTTATCATTTAATTCCTGCAAGCAATATGCAAAGACCCTGTAAGACTTGCATTACACCAGCTGTAAACTGACCTTCAGTTCTTTCAAGTTCATATTTGACATCTGCAATGTCTTTTTCCAGACTGCTAATCCTCTCAGCATGTATTTTACTTCCGACATTTTTGTACTCCAACCAATAATCTCTCTCACGCTGCTTTTCTGCAATTGTTTTCTTAGTTTCTTCAATTTGGGAGCGCAGATCTATTAAAATAAGAATGTCAAAAGACAAGTTCATTACTGATTTATTGAACTGATAATTCTTACAATGTCAACTTGTTTAAGAAAGGTATTTCACAGGGAATGGAAAAGGAAGGGGGATTCTTCCACCCTACAGTACATTGCACTCTGATGGCCTTACATAGTTTCAAGGGCCACCATCATTGCTGGAAACAGCTTGGTCTTATTCTTCCAAAGAGACAGACAACTGTTCTCACCAAAATGTTGTAATCAAGGTCACGTGTCTCCCACAGAGAATCACAGGGATGGCAGCCAGAATTTTCACCACTCAAAACTGCTCTTTTTTCCTGCCATAAATAATTTTTATTTTTAATCTTCAGTAGAGGCAGTGCTTAGGACTTTCATGAGTTTCAAAAAAGAGGAAGCCTCTGCACTTGCACAATACTATACATCACTTGGAAGGGACAGATTGATTCACAAGCCCTCCACAATCTCATACTAAACTGAGAGAGCCCAGTTTTGGGAGAGGAATAGTTTTATACTTTTTATACAACAAAGAAGTTGAATCTCTACTTAAATTGCAAAACAACAACATGTACTCAATCCCAAGTGTGTAAACTGCAAAGAACGCTTCCCCAGCGCATAACATACCTTGAAGAAGTTGTTCTTTGTCCTTCACAAACTGAAAAACTGCTTTCAGTGACTCTTCCACATCATCCCTGGTTACAACCTCTTTCTCATCTCGTTTTTTCTCCTTTTCTTCTATTTGCCTTACTAAGCGCCTGATAAGCACCTTCTGTTCTTCCTTCACAACAACATTCTAAGAAAGAAGACACAACTGATATGAAAATGTTTTCAAAGTGACAAACTTAAGCAAAAAAAGTAAAATCTGGCCTAGTGCCAGATGAAATGCAAAAACACCCAGCTAAACACCAGTTCTTCATATTCTGAAAGGTCAGAGCAGAAGGGAGAATTTGCAAGGCTCAGATATTTCCTCAGTAACGTCAAGACCACTGGAAGGAAATGAGAGACAAATTACAGCTGTACTTGGTACAGCCCACAGATAATCCTCCATTGCCTGGAAAGAAAGGTCCTTGTAGATAATTTAATAACAATGTTTATATGTAGGAGCTATTTGCTTCATTCTTCATGAGAATGTACCATCTTCATATAGAAAAATCATGAGACAATCAGGTCACTTGCACATAACCACAGCAAAGAGTCTTGTCAGAGCTGAAATTAGTAATATGTCCTGATTCCACAACTGTGATCATAACCCATGGCCATGACCCTCTCTAGTGACACTCAGATCATTTGAAATTACTGATTGTGTGTGTTTGCTCCCACAGGACACCATACAGGAGCAAACAAGTAGTAAGTAAGCAACAGTTAGTAAGCAGCAGAAAGAGTCTCAAGCATTCCTCACCTCTAGGATTAACTCTAAACCGTTCAGAAACATTAAGCAGGAAATAAAGAATGGAGCTCAAAGCACTGTCAAAATATGATTAAATTAAAACAGTAGCACTTCACCCATGCCTTAAAGTACCCGGCTCAGTCTGAAATATGGACTCCTTGAAAGACCATGAACTAGCAGTGAATTGGGGGGAATAACTGTAGAAAGATAGCCGGGGGTAAAATTAGAAGAAACTGAGAAGTTGTATTCACATCCTAACAGAAGCTGTAGTGGTATAGAAATTAAAGAGTAAAATGCAGCTGCTACTGTCTGAATGGAATGCAGTTGGCATGCTCAAAACCTATTCCATGATGATGCCTTACAATCTGCAACCACAGCCCCTGCTGAGGGGGATGGAACAGAGGGTGGAACAGAGTGGAGACACCGTGGCCAGGCTGTGTAGAAATCTTTGCAGGGAGGGGAACTCAATGGCACTCTGTAACTGACAAGCAGCTCATCACCTGTCAGCTAGGGGAGAGCAGAGAAGATGAATGACTAGAGTCACTCAAGCTCCACCTAAACATAAAGAAATAGTATAGAAGTAAGTTAGGATTGGGGAGAAGTTTAGGAAGTCCATCATAACTGCTGGAATCAGTTGTAAGGCTGAACCTGTCTTCTCCCACATAGGGACACCTATTGGGTTAGAAACCATGCTCGGTAAGCACTGAATACTTTGGATTAGAGCCTGTCTGTGTGTTGCTTTGAATATGTTTTTGCAGAAAGATACTATCGCTGAAAATCCTCAAAACTTAATCTGTCACAACTTTATGTTAATAGAGAGCAGTATTCCATAAACGGTCAGTGTGAACCCTTCCACCAGCTGTCAGTAACACACTCAAACAAACTGGGGAGACCACTGAGGGGTCTCCCTTATGCTGTTGCTCTGTGTCTCTGAACAAGGCAGTCAAACTGCCCTCCAATCCAGCAGTATAATCACAAGAGACGTAAGACCCAACAATAATCATAAAAGCCCTCAGATGCCTGCAGAAAGAAGAGTAATTGTCACTTCCAGTGATAGTCAAGCCACAAATGAAACACCACCCAGTCTTCAAGACTGAAAGAAGTACCACAGAAAGCTAAACAGATGGATGCTCATAAAAGCAGGGCAAGCATCAGCATGGGAAGGACAGAGAGGCGTTGTTTCAATGTTTCACTGCTATGAAGTGCAGGCTGCAATGTGATCCAGAGTAAGGATTTTTTGAGCATTTTCAATTAATTTCAATAGGTGACTCTCTAATATCTATTTTCAAAGTTCACTGCTCACAGTTATCAGATGCCATATTGTGGCTGTTTATATACAGCTTATATGCAACCACATATTCTTTCTTTAAAGTGTCATTCAGGTGAGATCAGTAGTTACATAACCTTGTTCTAAAAATTACTCAAAACAATTCTTAATCCATGAGTGTGCCTTCATCAATCAGTGCTAGAAATCACAGCTAGTAAATAACATGATGGTCTTTCTCCTTTATTCAATTTTTATTGTAACTAAGTCTGCAGCAACAGAAACCCATGCAATTCCATTACTTCAAAAGTGATTCAAAGGAGCTCAGCAATTCTCAGTGCTTGGTTAGGTCTGCTAATACTACTGACAGAAACTAAATTTATACCATTTATTCTTCATGCACTGAAATATTCAAGAATATTTGTAGGACTGGTTAAAAGGTATATCTAGTACCTACTGAAAGGAGGCTTGCTGTCCTGTGGTTGCTGCAGAGAAAAATGCCAGAGAAGGGCAACCAAGTTGATAAAAGCACTAGAGCACAAGTCTGATGTGGAGCAGCTGAAGATGTTTAGACTGGAGACAAGGAGGCTCAGGTGGCACCTTATCTCTCTAAAACCACCTGGAATGACTTTGTAGCCAGGTGGAGGTTGGTCTCTCCTCCCGTGTAACAAGTAACAAGGCAAGAGGAAAAGAAAATTGTGCCAAGTTTAGATTGGATATTAGGGAAAATTTCTTCACTGAAACGGTGGTGAGGTATTGGAACAGGTTGCCCAGGAAAGTGGTGGAATCACTATCCCTGGAAGTGTTCAAAAGACACGTGGATGTGGCACTTGTTGACCTTGTTTACTGATGAACACAGTGGTGCTGGGTTAAACAATTGGACTTGATTATCTGAGAAGTCTTTCCCATCCTTAACAATTCTGTGATTCCATTACATAGGTAGGTGGTTATAAGGATCTGTTGTGCATTGGAAAGCACCTGCACTGCACTCACTTTACCTTACTGCTCTGTCCTATTCTGCAACGTTCTACTCCTACAGCTTCTTTTTAGCATGTTATATTTAGGACATTTATGCTATATGTCAGATTTAATTCAGATAACTTTAACTTTCAAGTTAAAGTTATCTGAATTAAAAATAAAGAGACTCACTAACTCTAGTTTCATTGACTGTAACAAATTCACTGCAATAACTAATTTTAAAGTATGTAGTATTCGAATGGATAGAATAAAACTGAATCTATGAGTAAGACTACCACAAATAAAATTCGTTGCATAGTCACTTACCTTTTTAATATTTTCTTTGATCTTTTCTTCCAATCCTTTCAGATGAAACAAAACCGATGCAATTGCTGCTTCTTTTGCCACAATGCTATGAAGAGAGAGTAAAGAAAGAGACATTCTTACAAAAACATTAGAGAAAGGAGTGATATTAGATAAAAATACTACCAAAATGTTTATTTTCATATCGTATTTCTTGACTCATTTGGGTAAGTACCACTGTCTGCTTACACAAAAAAGAAATTATTTCCCACATAGATCTGGGCCTGCATGTTAGTCTGGATATCATACCCCTACAGAGCAGCAGACTCCCTGGTTGTACTGCTCCTGTGCACCCTCCTGAGAGGCTGGAGCTGGTTTGTTCATTCTGCATGAGGCTTAGCTGACCTGTTACACAGGTCACTTTCAGGACAAGATAATTTGTTCTCCAAAAAATATAACTCCAGTATGCTGTACCAGCATTCATTCATCATATGGGGCAATAGAGGCAAGTATTACAATTATCACAAAGTCTTTTATTCTTTTAACAGTTCTTCTTCCTTCAGTTTTTAGTTTGGGGGTTTGGGGTGCTTTTTTGTGGTTTTGGTTTTTCTATTGCCTTCAGCTATTTTAAAAGAAGACAATTTATTTCCTGGCTAATTTGCTAAGTTTGGATCATTAAATCATGCAAATTGCAGGTAACTAAATTTGCATCCTCTGGTGTCAGTGTGCTCCAAGTATTTCTCAGGTTTTCTATTAAGTAGAAGGATATTAGAGAGAGACTAGACCAGAGGCATAGGGATACAGTGGTCATGGCCACAGCAAAAATACATCATAAGATCATTGTTCCTAAGAAATGCTGAAACAGAGAACTTTAATGAAAATGCAAAATAACTGCCTAGGAACAGTGACCATTCTTCAGCATATGGAAATAAAAAAACAGGAGTGGAAGTTAAATAAATACTACACACTTGATAAATCCTGAAGTGGAACGTGACAGCTATCCACTTGTATGATTATCCACCTTTGATCAGTCAAGTAGTACAGAGAAGTTACAGATTAAGAGAGGTGAAGAGAAAGAAAGGGAGAGCAAGAGGGGCAGAGAAGAGAGTGGGAGAAAGATAAAAACAGCAAGAAGAATACTTTTCTTCCCTTTTCCCCCTACTGTTGCTGTAGAAACTACATATTCCATTTAAGTGAAGCACCTATTTCAGTGGAAGACTCTCCAGACAAATGAGTCATTTGCTTGGATATTAGCATACACATAACAATAATTTTATTAGAAAGTGGTACAGGTTTTTTCTCAGCCCAGTCATACAGTTTCCTTATTCCTTCACAAAATAGGTGAGTTAGTTTTGGACTTTTCAGAAGGTATTTGTTTGTGATATGATTCACCTAAATCTAGGCTATTTCACTAATGAAAATTGTACTCTGTGCTCTGTAAAATGAACCAGAAAAATCCCCATAAACCCTGTGAACTCATACAGATGTCACTACCACTATAGGAGCATACTTTTTAGCTTGCTTACTCCACTTTTCATTTCCCCACCAAGGCACTACTCCTTACTCCCTAAACACTGACATTGGGTGTTCCTGAGGTATTTCCCTTTCAATTTCTGTCTCTTAGATAAAAGCCATGAAGCTTACTTTTTCTCCTTTTAATCATTTACTCAAGAGACTAGAAATCAAGTAAGTTGGACAGGTTTGTAACTACTTTAAATATTTGCCCCTTGGCTCTTATTTTTCTCTGTTTGATTTTAAGAGATCTTTAATTTATCCATCTCTTACTTTCAAAATACAAATTGTGCTCTGCTCTCAGCTGCACCAAGGAAGACAGCAAACTGTAGGTCTTGAGGTTCTGGCTAGTGACAACAAACCTCCGCGAACACCAAGGAATCCTAAAAAATACAGTCAAATGTGATCCTGAAACTTCAGCATATGCTGATCAAAAGCTTGCTACTAACAGAAAAAAATGTCAGGGTTTTTTGGTTTTAATTTTTTTTTCCCAAGTTATAGCCTAATGGCATAAAATTTCTGACCCATTTAATTGCTTTCTTATAGCTACAGTTTAAAAAGTGTACCTTTCTGAAATAGCCTCGAAACCTCAAAACAGTCAGCTCAGACTCTAAATTGTGTAAGTTGTCTTTGTTATCTGCTTCCTTTATTCACATATTGTATATGAGTGAAAAAGTTAAAATATATTAAACCTACTGATATTCTAGTAAGGCTTCAGGTAAATCTGATTCAGGCTCTTGAACTTGCTCTTCTGGTTTCTTCTTTTTCTTACTCTCTTCCATTTTTTTTTTTTTTAGTTTTTTTAATACTTGTGCTAGAAGTGAAGGAAAAAAATACAGAGATGAATAATTTACAAAACATTGTGTGTTCACTGGCATTTGTCACTTGTGACAAGCTTGTAACAGTTCTGAAATAAAAAAAACAAACTGAGTTTTTGACAGCAACAATCCTGCCCAGAGGTAGCACTCAGGCCCATGTCTACATATATATAGATATATATATATATATGTGTGTGTGTGTGTGTGTGTGTATATACATATATATGTAATGTATATATATGTAATGTGTACCTGAGTAGATACAGTGGTCTCTATCACCCATTACTTATTGCATCCCTTGCTACAGGTTGTCTTTTACATTCTTGCAAATCAAACCAGAAGTTGCTCCTTTTCCAGTCCTTTGTTTCTTTATCATACTTATTTAATCAAGTCCACTTGTTCACATGCCTCTCTTTCCCTCTCCTTCTGTTCTCCTAGCACTATGAATATCTCCCTTTCACCACAACTCTGATACCAGTTTTCATTGTCAGAGCTGGAACAAAAGCGCTTTCTGAGGGGATATGCATGTCAGCAGTATTCCCTGGGCACGCTGTCACAACTACCAACCTCAGAATTCGACTGACAATGAATAGTTCTGCAATGGAACTGGCAGCATATATCATACAAAATAAAAAATGTCACAAGAAAGGGCACTTAGGAAGATTCCTCGCTTTTGGCAGTCACATAATCAAATTTTCCAAACCAAAATAGTTTATATAATATCGAATGTTTTATTACTGGATGAGTAGTAACATTGTTTATAACCTGATTTTGTATTAAACTGCTTCTCTGAATTTAAATTCTGGATTTTAAAAAAAAATAGGTGAAATTGATAAAACTTGTCCTGCGACTAAATAGCAGGCTGGATACTTTTTCCTGTTAAAATGAGCACAAGTAAACAGGAAAAAAAAATCAGTAAAAAGCCACATAAGCAAGCAAGTGAAATCAATGGAATGAAGTGAAACTAACTATTGACAGATGCACTGCAATCCAAACACTGTCCTGTGCCTTCTCACCACATTCCCCATACCCTGAAGCAAGGCCATGTCACCTTTCTGTATACAAAATGACTTTCTATCTTATTTCATATACAACCTTTGCAGTTTCCAATTCAGTACAATATTTTTTCATGAAACTTCCAAAAATCCTAAAGACATGGCTGTTGTAAGACCTGAGATAAAGAAAGAGGGTTTAAAAGAAACCCAAACAAACAAGTAATTAAGAAAAACAACTCACTGAGGCAGGAAGTTAGGTACTTTGTTCTGCCTAGACTCCTCTGAAATTTCCAAACCAAATGCTCAAGTGCAGGATACACTTGTTAAGAGTAAAAAAGAATCCATCACACTTCTTCAGTGCAGAATTAACTGGACTGCTACTGATTCCAGTTCCTCTTGAGCATTTATTTCACTGATTTTCTTCAGAAACTGAACATCACTAGAGCACTCCCCAAGGTTTTCTTTAAATTGTTTCTGTCCCTTTCACTAAATGGATAATCAAATTCCCTGCTTAAAACTGGATATAAACCAAAAAAAATTGAGTAGAAGTATTTTGAAAAGGCTTAGGGTGTTTTTGTTTTTTTTTAACTACAGACCCAGATGAGTCCCAGTGATATATTTATGAAATTGTTCCCAAGCAGAGTGGAACAAGAAAGCCTCCAAGCTGTAAAAGGTGAAAAAAAACACATAAAAAACACATGCTATAATAAAGGATTTTGCAAACTATACAAAATACACATGAGAGAGAGGAACATATTTAAGGGGACTGAGGATTGACTGCACATTTGAAACCCACAGGACAATATTTACAGAAGGAAAGATCTATTTGTTCTCCCAAATAAAACTGTGAGACTCTTGACTGATCCCCTTTATCAGCACCAGCACTGTCTCAAGCAATAACTACACTGCCACTGCATCCTCAGAAGGAGCAGGCAGTTTCCTGACACTGCAACCCAACTAGAGTAACTTTCCAGACACTCTTTACAGAGACCACCTGTACAGCAGCTCACCACTCTCATGAGCCCAATCATTACCATTAACACCATCCAAACTAGCACTTGCCCTCACATAATCATCTCCATATATCGAGCAGCTGCACTACCAGAAGCCTCCACTCCCTCAGTCCCCAACATTTATAGACTCACAGAATACACTGCCTTGGAAGGGACCTGTCAGAGTCATTGAGTCCAACTTCTGGCCCCATGCAGGACACTCCAAGAATCACACCATGTGCCTGACAGCATTGTCCAAACACGCCTTGAACTCAGCTTCAGGCCATCCATCCTCTCGGGTCCTCTCACTGGTTACTAGAGAGGAGATTGGTACCAGCCCCCCTCACGAGGAAGTTGCAGACTTCTATGAGGTCTCCCCTCGGTCCCCTGTTCTGCTGGCTGAACAGAACAATGACCTCAGCCACTCCTCATATGGCTTCCCCTTAGGACCCTTCACCATCCTCATGGCCCTCCTTTGGAAGTTCTCCAAGAGATTAATGTCTTTCTTGTGAAGCACAAAACTGCACAGAATATCCAAGGTGAGGCCGCCCCAGTGCAGAGCAGAGCAGGACAATCCCCTCCCTAGTCCGGCTGGCCATGTTGTGCCTGATGCCCCCCAGAACCCACTTGGCCCTCCTGGCTGCCAGGGCACTGCTGACTCATGTTCATCTTGCCATCGACCAAGATCCCCAGGTCCCTTTCCACTGGCTGCCGTCCAGCCTCTCCCTCCCCATTCTGTCGGTACACCTGGGATTGCCCCGTTCCAGATGCAGAATATGGAAAATCTATTACCTCAGCCACACTGCAACATCGTGCAGTCCCACTGCATCCCCTTCCCAATCTCCAAAGCAGGCTAACAATTCGCTCCGCCCTCAATCTGCCCTGGCTAACACTTCCCCTGACATATCCCTTGCACTATTTCCCCCAGCCCCTTTCACCATCAGACCCCCTCAGTGGACAAAGCTGGGCCACCCCTCACCGAGGCCAGCGCCTCGCTGCCCGTAGGCACCAAATCGCGCTGGCACCGTCACCCTGTGCCTCAGCCCCCCGCCACCCCTTCCCGCCACCGCCGGAGAGCTCCGAGGCACCTCCCCCGGCCCTGCCCGCACCCCGACCCGCGTCCCCCCTCACGGTGCCCGCGGCCCGGCACCCGGCCCGCACCGCGCGCTGAGTCTGCCCCGGCCCCGTCGCGGGCCCCGGGGCATGGCCGGGCCCTGCCGCGCGCCCCGCCCGCCGGTCGCCATCGCGACGGGGCCGGGCGCCGCAGGGCCCGCCGGTGCCCGCTGCCCCGGGAAACGAGAAGCACGGGGAAAAAAGGCTGGTGGGGCGGGCTGGGTTTCGCCCAAATGCGGTGCCAGGCTGAAATCCTGAAGTTGTAGCTGTCGTCAAGAAAGAGAGCGTGTCCCACCTCCCTACTGGGACGGTCCCACCCCGAATGTGAGCTGGGCCACCCATCGCCGCAGAGCTGCTCTCTCAGGAGCCAGCTCCCTCAGTCCAAGGCACTGGAGCCCTGGGTGGCTCCTGTACTGCAGTAACAACAGCCGAACTCGGCGGCATGTGACCCCTTTGCTCCACATCAGAGCAAAAGGCCATGGCCAGTGTGGGACAGGGCTCAAGAAGGTGGAAAGGAAGGTTGGAGTTTGATCCTGAACTGCTTCTACTTCTCTCCTGGCCAGTTGTGTGCAATAGATTTTGGATAGGCTCTGGTCATTTCCTTCCTTCATAGGATATCAGTGCCTGAGCCACAGAATCCTGGGAGCTGTACTCAACCACAGGAATAAACTATCAGTCACAAAAGTGCTGCTGTCTGCATTCTTGGGCAACATGCAATCATAGAAAGGCTTGTTGGACGGAACTTAAAGATCATCTCACCCCCTGCCGTGGGCAGAGATATCACTAGTTATTTGCTCAGGGCCCCATCCATCCTGGCCTTAAAAACTTTTAGGGATGGGGCATCCACAACCTCTCTGGGCTTTCTTAGTTTAAAACCATTCACCCTTGCCCCATAACTGTATAAAAAAAGTCCTCTCCCTCTTTTTAAAAAGCCCCCTCTATGGACTGGAAGGCTGCAATGAGGTCTCTCCATAGTTCCTTTTTCTCTATGATGAACATTTAGTTACTTTGTTCATAATTCTTGACCATCCCTGTGGGAATTTGTGTTTTCCTTTGACAAGTCCTGTTTGACATAGTAGAACAGTCTCTGTAATTAAGACATGTTCATTAAAGTAAGGACAAAATGCTTTTAGTCCTACAGGCAGAGATCTGTAGCCATGCTGCATAAGACAATAAATTTAAAGATGCCCTGGTCACTGGCAGCAGGATTAAATTTGTTTTGTTTGGGAGCAAAAGAGAAGGAAAATGATCAGGCCCTAGTAATGCACATTTGATCTTTGAAGCCATTTTTTTCATGATCATTATCAAGCCAGTCTTTTTCTTACCGCAGAGAGCACTGTATAGAGTAATATAAATTATCCACACTCTTTCCTTTTACAGTTTGCGCTTCTGATATACATTTTCTTGTAATATTTTAAAATAAATTTTAAATAATTCTAAAATATTTTTGAAGGCTTAGTTTTAAGGACTCTGCACTCATTCGTGTGTGAAGAGAGGGACCTTTGATGGGCTGAGAGCTCCTGTGGTGGACTTGGGTATTTCTCAAGCAACTCCACTCACTGTTATTGCTCTGCCTTCCTTTGGGCATGTAGAGAACTTTTATGACATAACCTAAGAGCGTGGAAGATTTTAAAATAAGAAAAAAAGTTATCTTGATGCCTAGGAACCAACTGAAGGTTGAAAAGCAAAGTACAATGTGGTCAAAGGCACCTGGGAAATGTCACTACAGCCATTAAATGAACAACATCAGAGTTAGCTGTGATTTGGGTTAGTTCAGAGAGCAGCTCAGTGTCAAAGGCAGTTGAGTGACAGGAGGAAACTGGAGGAAGGAAAGCATTATCAGCTCGATTTGCATCAGTGGAAGCTACTAATACCTGTCATTTTG